TCCAATACATATTCCATTTTTAACTTAGAGGAACATCCATTGTCATTACATTAGATTGAATATCTTTTATCTATATGTGTAGCTGAAGATGTTCAAATATTGGAATGAAAGTGAGAATTTCTGGTTACATTAAGTTATTTTTTATTATTTTCCAATATTGCATTTTAAGAAAGCCAAATCTTTAATCTTGTTGAAAAAATATTTTCAGCTATTCACTAGCCATTTTCAGTTTTAATACACCATACTTTACACACTTCTTATTTTAAATAACTTTAGACCAGCAGATTTCATAACATTTAACTATTGTAATTATCTTTTCAGTTTTTTACTTGCTTCTTTACTTTTATAAAATTGTGCTTATTATGGAATATTTATATACAATAAATTTAATTCAAAAAATTCCTTTGATTAAATTTATTCATTCTTACTTTTAAAGCAATTTTTTAACTCTTATATTTGATTGATATTACCCAGATTGTTGTTGATGTCAGATTTCACGTAATATTCCCATGCAAACTGGAAAATAGTGGCAATTTTTTTATTTGCCTGTATATGTGATGAATTTATAATAACTAATAAACTACATAATAATGTATTGCCTACATGCAAATGGTGAAACTGATGCATCATTTCTTAATAACATTGCTACAATGTATAAATCTGCTGCTTTCAAAGAATCTGAAATTTGCTTCCCCTAGGCTTGAAAAAGGTTAATGATACAATCCCTTGCAAATGTGGTTCAGTTTTTCAGTAGAGGTGCAGTATATTAATTGCATATATACCACATAATAGAACTTCATCTCAGCTAAGCCCATAGACATTAATTGAAAAATTAGCCAAAATCCAGGGATCCTGTCTTTCAAAGTGAAACTGGAATATTGTTCACTTTGTTTCTGATCAGTTCAGTCATTTATTAAATTGCTGCCTGCTTATGGTTGTGAGGCTCTGGATAGGTCTAAACCCTCACCGAAATTTTTGTTAAAATAATTTTTTTTAAAGTAAAAAAAAAAAAGCTAGAAATTGTTTTTTTTTTGTTTGAAAATGCAAAATGTTTTATTAAACAATAGAAGAATGTAAGTCCTAAGATCAACCATCTCCAACTGGGATTGAATTAAACTTTGATTTTGACCTCTCCCGTGATCTGAGTTGAGATCTCATTACAGTTAGTAATGAGTGATCAAGTTCTTGGAAAGCGAGAATGAGGAAAGCAACCAATCAGAATGGGCAATCAAGAATAGAAATTAATAAAAACCCAGGAATTCAAGGATGCGAAGGCTGTTTCTTCTCCCAAAAGTTCCAAGTGTCAGACTAATTGTGTGTGTGTCTCAGGCCTCTCCCCCTCAGATCAACATCTTCCCATCACTGGAAGTTGACCGCATCATCCTGGATTCATCAAGATGTCAAGGAAACTGTCATTCACAAACTGGGACACACCTTCATTTGGGACTATCCTAGGAAGGAGAGAAAGATCCAGAGGCCACTGCCTACTTACAATTTCCAAGATGGAAATTCTGAATCGGAAATCTTGTAAGCTCCTTTCATGTTAAATAAACAGTTTCTTGTAACCATAGAGTCTGTCTCACTGCCAATTGCCCACATATAACCCTTTTATCCTCTTGACATTTCCACCCGTCGTCAACCTTATATGGTTGTATATTTGCAGTAAAGACAAGCCAATCTCCCTAACAAAACTACAGTTTCAATTTTTTATGAAAAATCAAAACCAAAAATAAAAATTTGTTTTTATTCCAAAACTCTTTGACACAATTCAAGGATGAAATTTTGTGTAAGTTTCAATTAAAATAAAATATTCATTGAACAAATTTTCTTTGTGAGGAATAAAAGTTCCTTGCACCCATTTTTTCATTAATTTATTACAAAAATAAAAAATATTAACATGAAAACATATTTGCAACCATATTTTTATGTTGTTTTAATTTTCAAGAAAACAACCACAATAATAATAATAATAATAAATGCCTTGACTCTGGTCAGGCATAGTACACAGCCACCGGTGTGTACCGAGTATAACCCACTAAACCCAACACATAATAATAACTCTCCCGTGGTCATCACCTAATCGTGGTGGGAGAGCCCAGTAGTTTTACAGATCCATAGACCAATGCAGGCTGAGCACAAGCTCCTGGCAGGGACATCCATGCCAGTAAGGTCTATAGAGAGAAATGAAGCTAAGAGTGACCACACACCAACATTCTGTGGAGATAATCATTATGGTAGTAACCAGATCTAAGTATGATACCGGCTTGGACATCGCCCGGGTTAACAAGGTCCGCGTTCGTGGGTTAGGCAGAGGCTCACGTTCGAAAAATAGACCACAGTCTCCCTTGGTTACTGGTGGCAAAAGCAGCATTGGCCAAAGCATAGCTACTGCAATGCCCTCAACAGATGTGAGGAATCAACGTAGCCTTGGTGTTTCTGTGGCAATGCATCTACAGACCACAAAGGCTGGAAAACCACACCAACGGATGAAATGGACAACAGAAATGAACGAGTTTATCATCCGTACTTACTATACCATCCNTTAATACAGACACTGACACTGACACACACAATTAATTTTAGTTTTGTTTTGGTTGCTATGCCTTGACTCTGGTCTGGCATAGTACACAGCCACCGGTGTGTACTGAGTATAACCCATTAAACCCAACACAATAATAATAATGGTTGGTTGCTATGCCTTGACTCTGGTCTGGCATAGTACACAACCACCAGTGTGTACCGAGTATAACGCACTAAACCCAACATAATAATAATTTAAAAATGTAAAAATTTAAAAATAAATCTTTTTATTGTATATTAAGTCTTCAATAGTCTTGTAAACGTCCATTCACAATCACTAGAACTCAATCACTACAACACTTCCTTTTATAAGCTCCTCCCTGCCTACACTTTAATCAATTTGTATAAAAATGTTATATTTTTACAATAATAATAATAAAAAATATTGACCACGTCACATTGCTAGGAAGTTTCTAGACGTTGACATACATACCAATAACATAGCTTAATGTTAATGTTACACTTGTTTGGGTAACTATGCTTTGACTTTAGTCTATCATCTGCTGATCATGACATTAGCAACATACTATTATTATTTATTATTATTAACCTTTCAACAGTGGTCTAGATGGTATGGTTCTACCCCTAGTAGTGGAGAATAAACGTGGGAAATTTTTAAAGTATTTTTCCACACGTTTTTTTCTCATTACTGTTTCGGAAAAAAATTTTGTAAACAGTTACGTCAAGTAAAGAAGTGTCTTTTTTTATTGTTACATAATTCATATTTTATGTAAATTTTTTTTTCCACGATAGTTTTAGGCTAGTTTTTGGCGATACCCCCAAAAGAATTTGACGACTATAGTCGTCGCTCACTGCTGAGTAGTTAATTATTATTTTTTTCATTATTATTATTATGTTGGGTTTAGTGAGTTATACTTGGCTAACACCAGTGGCTGTGTACTATGCTGGAACAGTCAAGGCATAGTAACCAAAACAAAACAAAAATTAAAAAAGTGTGTCAGTATGTGTGTCTGTATTAAGGAATTTCCTAACAATATGGCATGTATTCAATATAGTGGCCTTCTGTAGTGTGATGTATGTGTTTCTATTCAATTGTAATGTTCCCAGGCTTTTGTGTAGTGTGTGTGTGTTATCACACCTGTACAGGAGAGAACAACAGATACAATAAAAACCTTATCCATCCTCTACAGATGCCTTATTTCCTGAGCAAGTTCTATGCCCTTGCTAATTTTTCAGTGCGTGTGTTTTGTACATTGAGTGTTTGGAATGGATATGTCTATAATGTATGTGATTTTATTGTGTTTGTCAATGAGTGCGATGTCTGGTCTGTTGTGGTAAATTGTTTTATCTGTAATTATACTGTCATAGTATATTTCGTGTGTGTTGTTTTCCAATACTGTGTGGAATGTATTTGTAGTATGGTTTGTGGATGTCTAATAATTTGTGTTTATTGCAAACTCTTGGTGTATTATATTTGCTACTTGATTATGTCTGTGTAAATAATCTGTCTGTGCCAAGAGCTTGCACCCAGAAGTGATGTGTTGTATAGTTTCTGGCATGATGTGACATTTTCTGCATGTGTCATTTGTGAGTGTTGTATCTTTGAGTATGTGTTTTCTGTAGTTTTTAGTATTTATGACCTGATGTGTATGACAATCATGAAGCCTTCCGTCTCCCTAAAGAGGCATCCCCGAGCTAACTAGCTGTTTGATGCAGTTTTGTCAACAAAATCATGGGCCAGGTCATAGGGATGTCTGCAATGGAGTGCCTTTCGAGCCCACGATTGCTTAATTGTGTCTATGCATTTTATATGTTGTGTCATGTCCATAAGATATGAGTGCAAGTTTAATGGTGTGTTATTTGAGTCTGCTAGAGATACTGCTTTATGTAACTGTTTAACTTTATGTAACTGTGGTGTTTCTTGTTTTTTGTAGAAAAACTCTCGCAGTATTTGTATTCATTTGTAGTGAAGGTTTGCTATTTCAATCAGGCCATGTCTGCCATCTTTAATCATCACTCACTAATCATCATCATCACTATTAGAATTGTTAAGATATTTGATTTTGTTAGTCTCAATTTACACAATTTTTATTTAAATAGCGTTTTACTAATCTCAAAATACTGTAGAATACAATAGTTGTATTTATGTAATATGATTGTTATATTATGTACATGTTATGGAAATTTCAAAGAAAATTCCTTTATCGTATATGAAAGGAAAGTATATATCTCTTTTATATAATTTGTAGCATATAAAAATGCTTCAAATTACATTTATAAATTTGAATAAAAATCCACTAAGATAAGGATGAATGCATATTACTTTTAAAATCCAATAAAGGTTGGGTGGATGCTTAAATCATTGATTTCACATTCAAATTCCATTGTGCATGTACTGTACATTTATTTAATATTTATATAATAAATTTTTAATAATTTAGCATGACTAAAAAACTTACTTGTGAAGGTTCTTGATTATTTAAATCATTGAAGCAATCTGAAACTACAGCCAATTCTGTAGTAGTAACAGTATCACTACAGTCATCCTCTCGCCTATCATTGCTATCAACAGAAATCTGTTCAATAGTGGTGGATTCTGCCTCCAGAGATGTGCAAGCATCAAGACCACTAGTGACTACTAAAACAGGATTTTTATCATCTGTAGAACAATCACTCTCAGCTAATATAGTACCATCTTCTGCTGTTATGACTACAGTTGTAGGATTTGTGGTTTCACCACTTGAATCAACGGTGAATGCAACATCACTGGTGAGAAGAATAACTTGATCAGAATTAGGACTTGTTGGTTGATTTTCAGTATCGGTGACAACAACAATAGATGGTTGATCTGATATAGCATTAGAAGTTAATGTTAAATTTGATGGTAAAGATACCATAGATCCATTGCTAATAATAACTGCTTCTTGTCCTGCAGGAGGCAAGACAACCTCATTGCTTTCTACTGAAGTAGTTTCAACTTCTTCAGTAATTGATGTTTCTGTTACCATGCCAATGATGTCTGGCTCAATTGTTTTAATTTGTAAAGTTGTAGATCCAAGACCAAGTGCAAAATTATCATTGGTAGGAGAACACGTAGTTAAAAGCAAAGGACTTGATGATGATTGCAGTGTTACCTGTTGTGATGTAACAGTTTGTAAAAGTGTCGGCCCGCTAGTTCCAGAAATAGAACGGTTACCAACCGTTACTACTCTACCTAAAGACTGCGGCATTATGGATGCTGCAGTGGAAGTGCATTGTTCAGAAATACTTGTCTTGGTGACTGTGGACACAATGCCTGGACGAGCTTTGAATTGCATATGACCACTACTTATGAAATTTGACCGATTTCTGCTCGATTCAAGAACTGCCTGACATATCTGATATGATCGTTCCAAGTTGACTCCATCAGAATTTCTATTCAATCCACGACGACCAACTTGTGGGCGAACCACAGGAACTGAACGTATGGTTATTGGGGGAACTAGGCTGGGACTTCGAGCCTAACGAATAAAAGTATAATTGATCAACGTTTCAAGTATTTAATTAATTATTACTAACAAATGAAGAATGTTTTAAACTATATTATTAGATTATAAGTTTATTGAAAGTTTTTTTTGAATTATTGTGATTAACAGATTATAATTTATGTTTGAAAATGAAAAACACCCGATTTGAATTCAGGTTTAAATATAGAAAAAAACTGTGTTTTCTTCTTTATTGTTTTAGAGAATATTAAAAAAAATCATTTTATTGACAGTTATTTTAATTATAATTTATGTAAAGCCTTCCTCAACTTACTTAAATATTTGATTTTGCAAATTCAAATATTTAGGTAATTTTTTCCATAAACTGATTTTTATGTATGTGGGGAGATCAATAAATAAGTTTTGGTGGTCTAGTATAATAACAAGAATTTATTTACAAGAACATGAGATACATAGAATTATAGTTCCGTCTGTCTTCTACTTTCTGATGTAACCACCGTCTATCTATATTCAAACATTTGTTATACTGATGTACCAGTACCTCAAATTTTTTTGTAGTGTCCAAAGCATGCAAAATGTGCCACACCTTGCTCTCAATATCACCATTGTTCTGAAAGCACTTCCTTTGCAGTTTCTTCTACAGTGTAGGGGGACAAGTGAAAATCATTTGGCTCCAGGTCAAGACTGTAAGGCAGATGTTGCAATCACTCCCAACACAGTTGCTGAAAACGTTCTTATGTGACCATTGCAGTATGTGGACATGCATTATTGTTCAAAAATGGCATCCTCACTAAAGATACCTGGATGCTTTTACTTTTGATGGCTGATTTCAGACTGTAAAGGGTGCACAGTAATGAGCAGCATTAACAATTAATCCATGTTCAAGAAATTCAACAAGGAAAACTCTCTTGGCATCCCAGGAAACAAGTCAAGAAGACATTTTATGAAGAATTTGTCACTTTGAACTTTTCAGAGGAGAATTGGTATACTTCCACTCCATAACACAATTTTTGATTCAGAAGTGTAGTAGTAGGCCCATGTCTTGTCTCCTGTCACTATTAAGCCAAAAAGGAATTTCCATCCTTCAGATAATGGGATTGTGGGTGGAACAAATCATTCATCTGATCACAATGAATCAGAACTGTAAGCTGGTGAGGTATCTCTTGCAACTACTTCCCAGTACCTAATGTTTCTTGAATGATGTTATGAGCTGTGCCAAAGGATTCTCAACAGGATTTTGACCACCTCATGCTCTTTGATCCTTTTTGTTTCCTTGAATCAAATAATTCACACATTCAGCATTTTCTTTCCCAAAAGACAGACAGCTGGTTCGCTATTCATTGCACAAACTCATTCATCTGCTGAAGAACTCTTGACACCATTTCTACACAGCCTGTTCAGACATTACAGTCTTTCTGTAAACTTCAATCAATCTTCTGTGAATTTCACTTCCAGATTAACCTCTAAGTGTTTTTTTTTACATCAAAACTGAAAAAAGTAGCTAACTGGCAACACCAATCCACCATGAAACAAGCTCAACTCGAGTGATGGCCACTGTTACAGTACAACCTGCTCTGTCAGTGAGTCATAGATGCACGATGATAATGGAAAGTAGCTTCGTCATCAGACAAAACCCCTAATGACCACCACAAAAGCTCAAATCACCCACTAGTGGGCAATATGGACCAGTTGACTATCACGGTTCTAGTCCATCTTACCAAATTACAGCCTACATTTCCTTGCTAGTCCAACTCTCTAACATTTGAATTCCCACCACCAGTGAATATTCTTGGAATGGTGAATAATTCCAAAAGATGTCTGCTGTGCATGCATGAGTGGGGCATGCCAGCACAACCACCAAAAAAAACAATCCATTCAGACAACAGATGTCTGTATGGATTGTTTTTTTTTGTGGAAATATAGTCTGTATTCTTACAAATCATTTAGTATAGGTGTACCAGACCACTGAAACTTATTTATTGATCTCCCCTTATGTCAAGATTACTCAAATAAGTTGTTCAATGAGTTATATGCTCTTTCTGTACTGAACTTTCTAATTACTGAAAAAAATAACATTCTTGCAGATTCTTTAATTTATTTTCTACCTTTAGTCCAAATTACATAATATCTATTTAATTAAGCAAAGTTCTAGCCCAATAGTTATCCAGCTTTTATCATTTGAGTATTAGTACAATTTGCACTTTGTTTTCTCTATGTATTTGTGTTAAAAATTAGCATTAAAGTAAATGCATTTAGCAAGTCAAGAAACTTGTTAAATGCATTTACTTTTCTAAAATGAGGTATTTCAATCTTTAGCACAGTGTTTTTCAACCTTCTTGAATACGCGACCCCTGTACAAGTTAAAAACTTCTGGCGACCCCCCAGGACCATATTGAAACTATATCAGTGATTTTAAAAACTATGTACTGTATTTAATTTTCTTTCTGTTGAGACCTAAATATCGATCAAAAAACCAATTATACTGTATTATAAACAGGTATAGCCTTCTCACTGAAATTGTAGTTTTTTTTTTTATTGTGGTGTAGGACCTACAAACACTTGTCTTTTCCTTTTACCCGCGACCCCCGTGTAAGGCNACTGCAGTGTTTTTCAACCTGTGGGTTACGGACCCCAAGGGGGTCGCAAAGCCTTACACGACCCACAGGTTGAAAAACACTGCTTTAGCAAATAGCTAAATCAAAAATTTTTGTATATTAATAAATAAAGCTTAGATTATCTGATCTCTATTCTGTTTATTTACTTATCATTACAAATATTTTTGTCAAAGAATTTCTAATACTTACTGCTGATCGAGGTATTATTTTTGGTTTTACAGTGGAATTTGCAGCTTCTTGAACATTTTGCTGTAAAAAAAATACATCTTTTGATTAAATTTTTTACAATATTTTATAATTTATAAATTAAATTTATTATAAAAATGAAACATCTGATTGACTGCCTAATTTTGATTTTAATCAGAAAATGGAATAGTGTATAAGCTCCATTTCTCTTACTGTTAAACATAGTTTTTTGAACCGGAAACAAATTTAAAAAATATTAAGAAATAAAAAAAAATCATTACTTATTTAAATAATTAGTAATTAATAAAATTACTGTTTTCTTATTATATTCTAAAAATAAATATAAATTTCACATATAATAGTTCTAAAAACAAAACATTGACAATCCTGTAAATAATCCTGCATTCAAATCATTCCTTGAGAAGTACATGCAAAGATCACCAGATGAGAGTGCCCTTTTAGAAAAAAATTACATAAAGTCAATTTATGAGAATTTCTTCAAGAAAATAAAAGAGATGGTTGGCAAGCATGAAGTGGAATTCATGTTAGATGAAACTAGTGATGATCTGATATATATTGAATGTGCTAGTGTTTCCATTATCTGGTGAATAGATAAACCTATGCTTTTTAAGACATATCAACTCGAGAAGACAAATGCCTGCACTGTAATGCAGTCATTCAATGATTCATGCATGAAGCTGTGGCTAGGGAACATACAATACAAAAAAGTCAGGCTTCAGCATGCTATATGCTTTCAGTTTTCCAACAACTGAAGGTCATATACCATATACTCCAATCAAGTGCAATATGTGTACAGTGTGACGTGTACTACACATGAACTACAGCATATTTGTGAAGATATCAGGAAGAAATACAGTAGGCTAAATGACTTTGTTGCTGCTCTGAAGATTATTGTAAAAGCCCCCAGTCATTAAGTTTTGTACTGAGAAGTCACTGGACTCCACCTACCATAATTTCATGTCATAACCAAGTGGCAAACTTAGGTAAGATGCAGTTTTCTTGTATGGAAACTTTAACAAAATCAAATGCTTCATATGTGCTCTAGATTTAACACAGCAGCCATCAAGCAGCCTCAACAATTGGTCAACAACAAAGACCTTTGCCTGATGTGATTCAGAGTTTGGAAGTAGAAAGTATGGAAAAAGGAGGAACAGTGGAAGAAGTTGATGACAGTGAGGGACAACCTCAATGAATTTGTCAAAGCCACATTTGAACAATCCAGATATGGAAACCTTTGGAACTTCAATTGAACTCCCATTCTGAGTACTTACATTGGTTTAAGTTGATGTTGATTGAAATCCACATCAACTCCTCACACACAAGGATCTCCTGAGCTAAAAAGACCAGCAACTTACTTTTTAAAACATAGAAATATTGTGTGTAATCCAGTATAACAAGTTGGTTAAAATCCAATAAATGTCATGTTTACTTCCTAAATACATTTATGATATTTGCTATAATGTTGGATAAAGAATGTTCATGTAACTGATTAGACCTGAGTAAATGCATTTCATCAACACCTTTTCTTGCACCTTTCTGTACACTTTTTCAGAACCATTTNGATTGAACTAGCTAGAATTCTAGAGGTGGGAGGAGTCAAGCAGTAGTTAGAAATGAGTTCAATATCACAGTGTAACAAGAATTCTGTGTTACTGAACACAGCCCTGGTCAAATCTTCCCCGCCTGAGTCACCTCAGGACAAGCATAGTTTGGCTAGCTCCGATAAAGAATGTTCATGTAACTGATTAGACCTGAGTAAATGCATTTCATCAACACCTTTTCTTGCACCTTTCTGTACACTTTTTCAGAACCATTTTCTTTCCCATTTTCTGACCATGATTTTACATCTTAAAATTCATTCTCTAGTAATAAACATTGGAAAAGCAGAAAAATGATCTCATTCTGATGTGCAATAAACAATTTAATTTCCATTTCCTGCATTAGTTTTATATTTATGATATATTATAAATTAACTTGTATATACATATGTGTACATATATAAATCTTAGATAATATAGAAAAAAAATTATATTACCTCTTGTTCCTGATCAGAGGTAGACTGAGTTGTATTTGGTTGAGGAGTACCCTCTGTAGTTTCTGTTGCTGTTACACTTGCTGTAACAGCTTCAAAAAAATAACAAACAATAAATAAATCAATTAAAACTCATTAAAAACTATTCTAAAATTTTATAACAGTTCAGATATTTTGATAAATTATATAACACAATTATTTTTCTGAAAATAGTTAAATTATTGAAATATTAAATGGTTAACAAATCAAAGCATCATCATCATTGATATTGGTTAAATTTACATTTTCAACAATTCTCAGTTTATTTTTTATGCTTTTTACTTTTATTTGTTTATTTGCAAAAAATGTTCTATTTGCTGATAAACTATCAGAAGCTGAAATATCAAATCAATATTGTTTTTACAATAATTTTAATCATCATAATACAGTAGAACATCGATTACCTGACTCAATTGGGGACAGGTTGAAAAACACTGCTTTAGCAAATAGCTAAATCAAAAATTTTTGTATATTAATAAATAAAGCTTAGATTATCTGATCTCTATTCTGTTTATTTACTTATCATTACAAATATTTTTGTCAAAGAATTTCTAATACTTACTGCTGATCGAGGTATTATTTTTGGTTTTACAGTGGAATTTGCAGCTTCTTGAACATTTTGCTGTAAAAAAAATACATCTTTTGATTAAATTTTTTACAATATTTTATAATTTATAAATTAAATTTATTATAAAAATGAAACATCTGATTGACTGCCTAATTTTGATTTTAATCAGAAAATGGAATAGTGTATAAGCTCCATTTCTCTTACTGTTAAACATAGTTTTTTGAACCGGAAACAAATTTCAAAAATATTAAGAAATAAAAAAAAATCATTACTTATTTAAATAATTAGTAATTAATAAAATTACTGTTTTCTTATTATATTCTAAAAATAAATATAAATTTCACATATAATAGTTCTAAAAACAAAACATTGNTGATAACGCATCCGCCCATTCTGCGCATCTGTTTCGGGCTTTCGTCGCCAAACACAATACTCCTGTGGTTCGTCATGCTCCGTACTCTCCCCACATGGCTCCGTGGGACCTTTGGCTATTTCCCAAGCTGAAAATGCCGCTAAAAGAAACCCGAATTTAGTCGAGAGAAGACATCGTGCAGAATGCGACGGACCGGCTGATGGCCATTCCAAAAGATGCGTTCCAGCAGTGTTTCCAGCAATGGCAGGAACGCTGGGAGAAGTGTATACATTACCAAGGAGACTACTTTGAAGGGGATTAGGGTTTTGTACCTTAAAGTCAATAAATTTATTTTTGCCGACCAAAGGTCCGATACTTTTTGAACAGACCTTGTATCTCATGTAATTAGTATATTAGTATATCACTATTAACCTATTTCGTGTTGAATTTTCATCGATGTTAAGCCTGACAAAAATTTTTAAAAATAATAATCGTTGCTATTGTGTCATTAAAAATTATTTTTAAATTATTTTATTGCTTACAAAACAAACAACCACTCATAATTAGAAATTTAAGCCTTGTTTAAATACTGGCATCCCTTTCATGATCGAGCCAGTGTTGCCAGCTAAAACACGAAAAATTTAATGAAAATAATATTAAAGTAGCCAAGACATAGCCAAATATTATAGCGCTGCATCACCAGCAGACATTTGAATTTGCCGACTAGAACGCGGTCGGTTAACTGATGTGACGATTGATCAGGGGTTGGATAATCGATGCTCTACTGTATTTTGGAACCTAGTTAACCCAGGATAGCTCAGTCATTTTCTTTCCCCAATCATCCAGCATAGGAATTTACATGTTAAATCAAGCTGGCTAATTTGAATGGTGTTTTGATACAGTATTTTCATAAACTCTCCAAAATTTTAATTTTTCTTTAAATAAAATAATTATCATTCATCCATGGAATAAACTAACCAGAAACATTCTATAAAGCATGGAAACTGTGTACAACTAAACATTCACATTATGTCATCTTATGGCAGGTGGGGGTCAAGGCTTCCAGACAGTGTGTATGGTGTAGATACATACTTTAAGTGTCGTTTGAACTTGCTTTTTCTTGAACATTTTATTTGATTGCTGTTGGAGTTCTCTGACTAGCTGACATAATAAATAAATGGATTTTTGATAAATTAATTTTAAAAAACAATTATAGTTTGATTCTATATTGGAAATATTAAACTGATATTCTTATCAGTTTTTTATTGAAAGCAAATTTTACAAGTTATTAACTTAATTTAAATATAT